GGTGAAGTCAGCCTCGTAGGCTTGGCCGTCTTGGCTACCTGTGTGGTAGGTGACCTTGTAACCACCTGTAATGTGCTTTACCTTACTTGAAATAATCTTTCCCGTGATTTCCATGAGATTGTGATAGTGTGTTTAGGCCATGTAGAACTCACAGGTGGTGAACTCAGGATTGTGATTTATATCAATCCCTTCATTCTGGAATTGGCGTCCAATTTCATAAACCTGGTCAATGCCACCAACCACCACCATCATATGGTAGAGTTCTAGAGCAATTCTCATAAATAAATTCATGTTTAGTTCATTGTGGTAAGTGATAAATGGTGTGGCCACAGCTCCCTCTGGGAGGATGTTCATGGGAGTTTCAATCTCTTGGAATTCCAATTCATCCAAGAAACTTTTTTTATATATGATGATCTTAGAGCAGATGATAAATTTGTGCCTTACAAAGTCATTCAGGATCAAGTTCAAGTATCTCTGATAATACTGAGTTTCCTTTTCTTTGAGGCCAAAGCAAAGATGAGGTAACATATGCAAGCAAGCAGACAGCAGTGTGATCTCATAGGGAATGATGCTCAGCTCACCCTTCCTACTTTTCCCAGGATTCCCCTGAATTCCAATTATGTCTCCCTGATGCAGTTTGTTATTGATACAAGTAAATCCTTCCTCTGATTTATAATGCCTTGAATTGGCCATGACTTGCAACTTTACCCCCTCTCCTCGAAGGTCAGAGAAGATGAGCCTTCCTTCAGATGCTCTTTTGGCATGGACCCTACCTTCCATCTTTAAGGTAATGGCATTTAGGTGGTCCCCAGGCTGCAGGTGACTGTATTCTTGGATGAAGTGAGTCAGCAAGATGTCTACATGGAATTTGTGTGGGTATGGGTCTTCCCATTGATCTTTAGTTGGTGGATTGCTTGGCTGAGGATCTTGTTGTGTTGGCTTGGGTCCAGGACCTCCTCCTTGGCACCAACATCACTCTCAGTGGTGTGGTTGGTGGCAGCCGCATTGGCTTGGCTTAGTTGTTTCTCACTGAGCTCCTTCTGCTTGGCCTCCTCTGCTATTTTCTTTTTAGCTTTCAGGCATCTCTTTAGTTCACTTTTGCTCAGTTTTCACTTACTGCCATCCCTTCAGGCCCCTGCACCGTAGTCAACTCTCCGGAGGCCTGAACTGAAAGGAATGAGGATGGTACTACAATTTCTAGGTCATTGTGTGCTTAGGGTTTTTAAATCAAGTTTTTAAAATAACATAATACATGAAAAGAGTTTTGCCTAGTCTTTGATACATAGCAAGAACTCAGTAATTATCTTAGCCTTTGTTATCTGAGTTCTAATTTCTGGCTTAAATGTAGCACTTCTGGGAGAGAACCCATCCAACTAGGTGTGTTTAAGGGAGAAGAGGTAGCAGATTGCTGTGAATAGAGCTCTATTCTTCATATGTATTTCCCTTCACTGTTTCCCACTCCAAATTGTTGAAAGAGTGAGGTCCTATAAGGACAGAGATTTCAAACAGTCCAATATCCTTGTTACAATCCAGACCAAAAATAAGGACACCTTCCATGCTACTCCAGAGAAGGAGTACCTATTCCTTGAGTGCCTTGGTTCCCAGAATTTGCCATGACAGGTAAAAGATTGGGATTAGGGGAAGGTGGGATGGGAAGAATATGTCTATTGACTAGAGCTCAGATTGCAGTGCTGGGCTGGGGTTCTATGAAGGCTGAGTTAACAACTTGCACCCCATCCATGGTGAATCTTAACCTTATGCCTTCAACATACCACATGGAACAAATCTATTTGGTGGAAGAGAAGTTGGACTGGATTACTTTTGAAGGTCTAGGAATAAATTTGAGCTCCTTTGTAAGTATGTAGGCAGTTCAGAACCACTTTTTGACCCTCATCCCCAAGCAAAGTTGGAAGTTTTCCCTCTCCATTTTACATACTCTTCAGCCTCTGACTCATGCTATTTTGTGAAACATTTTTTGTCCAATTCTTTCTTGATCCTACCTTTAACCAGCTTTCACTTGTTTATAAATGGGGCATTCTATTGTGGCAGGTATTTAAGTTCAGCAGGTATGACCTTGACTGGTCTCTTGAGTAGTCAGTTTCTCATAAAATTAATGGTGAGAGTCAAGAAAATAACTAACAGGTCTGGTGTAGTCAGGTTGTTTCTGGCAATAAACAACCAGGCTGGGCTTGACCGGTACACACCAATGCTGATTATCAGCCCTGCACAGAGCCATGCCATTATTTTATCTTTGGTCAAAACTGAAAATTTAGTAAGGCCATGGCTGGTGTGGCTCAGTTGGTTGGAGTATCATCCCATGAACTCAAAGGTCACTGGTTTGATTCTTGGTCAGGGCACATACCTAGGTTGCAGGTTTGTTCCCCAGTTGTATGAACTGCAACCAATTAATATTTCTCTCTCACATTGATGTTTCCCACCCTCTCTCTCCCTTCCTCTCTTGCCCCCTCTCTAAAATCAATAAGCATGTTCTTGGCTGAGGATTTAAAAAATGATAAAAATTTATTAAGGATTTTCCTCATTACCATCTCCCCCAAGCAATTTGTCTTATTATGTCATGTGGTTATTTTTGACCTTAGTTCAACTTTAATGTTTATTAATTCATTTCATAAACATGTAACTACTCTATTTTTGGAACTTTGCTAGCCATTAGGGCTGTGAATAGGACTTCTAAGAATTTCCAATCCAGTGGGCTGTGTTCTACACAGAGAGTTGCCCTCAGTGTTGCCTGCTCCTTGTGGTTGAAAGTATGAGGTCCTATAAAAACAGAGATATCAAGAATATCAGTATTCTTGTCACAATATACAACAGAAATAGGGATAGTGTATAAATCAGAGTGACTCTTCCCCAATGGGTATAAGTATGAGGCACAGATGGAAAAATAATGAATTCAACCTGGAGGTGTTAACTAAGGCTGCAGAGTAGGGATGACTTTAATTGGCTCTTGAAGGTGGAGTTCATCAGAAGAATTCAGAAGTGGAGTATGGGAGGAAGGCATTCAAGGCAGAAGAAATGACACTTTTCAAGTCCTATGCTTAACATACTATGTGATATATTTCTGTACAACTGTAAGTAATTTACTGTAGCACCAGGTGAGAACGATGGGAGGTGGAGGTATACAGAAAGGCAAGGGCAAAATGGAGAAAGGCTTTCCCTGAATAATCTAGAAAGAATCTTCTACATTTGCTGACTCTGCTTCATTTATTCCTGTTCATTGTGGCCTCTCAACTTGCAGCCTTATTCTCTGCATCCAAATCCAATGGACAGACTCTATTTTTACTTGGATACTCAGCAGAGTGTAAGATGTGATAGACACTTTTCATCCTCAAAGTTTTATCTTTCTTGGATTATAACACACCACTGTCTCCTGGATTTTGCTGTTTCTCTGGACTTTTCATGTAAATTTTCATTATGACTTCCTTTCTGTCTGCCTGACCTTTAAGTGTTGTGGGTCCTCAGGGTTTTGTCCTCTGGTTTCTTTCTATATTCTACAACTCTCTTCTGTTGATCTTATGCACTGTCCTATTGTCAATTAGCCTCTATCAGCTGATTATACTCAAATTTATATCTGTAGCTCAGCTTTCTATTATGAGATGCAGTATGCCAAATGGTCTACTGGATATTGTCACTTGTACATTCTTCTAGCATCACCAGTTCAACATGTCTAATAGAATGAATTATATATCCTACCCTTTTCTCTAGTGTTCTATATCTCAGAGACTTGTATCATTTTTCAACCAGTTGCCTAAATCTGAAAAGCTCAAAATCATCTTGGAGTTCTTTTTACCCCTTAACTCCTACATCTTGTCAGTAGCCAAGTTGTTAACTGGTTCTACTTTCTTAAACTCTTTGGCATTTTTAATCTTAGTGAAATTCATCTCCATTTTCCCACATCTTCTCTACCTCTTGGTCTGTCATTGTTTCTCATATGGATTACTACAACAGCCTCTAAACTGATCTCCTGGCTTCCAGTCTTGCCCTCTTCCAATCCATTCTCCACAGTACTAATTGAGTGATCTCTTAAAACTAGAAATGTGACACTATTTCTCTGCTTAAATCCATTGTCTACAGGATTAAATCTAAAAACCTATGAATGGTATATATGACTCTTGGTGATCTGGCCCCTACCTTGGCTAATAATATAGACCCAAGCAGAAAAAAATGGCTTGTAATTCTGAGAATCTAACATATTCTTTATAAAAACCCCTCTATATCTTACTTCATACTGTTCCTTCTGCCTAGAAGGCTCTTAGCAGCAACCCCCCTTCATGACAACCCCATTGTCCTGGACTTTTCTTTCAACTACAGAGATGTCCATTCTCCTCTCTCTTCCCCTACCCTGAAATTTGGGTTTGGGTGACCTTTATCTTCCTCTGTCTGGGCAACTTCAATAATAGCACTTTTTACCCTGCATTGCTATTATCTGTTTACATCTTTGTCTCTCTCCAAGAGGGCAGTATGGTGGAGAAAGGTAGATACATTTAAAACTATAATAATGATAATATCACTAATACAATGCTAACAACATTCCAGATCCTGTTACAGGTGCTTGCTGTATGTTAACCCTTGTAATTCTCACAACACATGGGGTGGGCAGTTATTACTGAAGTTAAATCAACAGGACTTGGTGATGGATTGAATGTGGGGACAGAGAAGAAGGAACAGTCTCAGCTGGCTACCAGGTTTCTGACTGGAGCAATTGAAATGGGTCAACTGTGGATGGAAGTGCCATCTACTAACATTAGGAATACAGGAAGAATAAGAAAAGGAAGAGTTTCAGTCAGGGAAGGGGGAAGAAACTTCCAGTTTGGAGACAGCTATTCCTTTGCCATTCTTTCATGACCAATATTTCCAGAAGCTTCAGGAATAATGTGAGTAACATCTTTCTCTCTAATTGACATTTGGAAACACCACTGTTCATCTCAGGAAAGCACACTAAGCTTCTAGTATCTCTTTGTTAGCTTGCTGCAAACAGGAGGGCTATGATCTCAAGACCCTGGCCTTTCTCTCAACTTGCTCTGGTTTAAGACTACCAGAAGACAGTGAGGACACTATGACCTTGCATCATTCAAGCTCCTGTGGTGCTTGTACATCCTGGCCCTCACAACCCTTCCACAGTAAGTGTGGGCACCCCCCTACAAGATAGGTGTAGTGGGCCCTTGGGCTTGTGATCAGTTGTTCTCAAAGTCCCTGCCTGAGGTTGCTGCTTGATTAGCCACTGAACAGATCAACAGAGAACCATCATTTGATCTGAGTTACTCTTTTGAATGTGTGATTCTCAACTTGAACAATAAAAAATCAAAAATTTAAAAAAAGACTGCCAGACTTCCAGGGCCCTCTCCGGTTCCATATCTCATCACCAAATGGCCTCAGGATTTATTTATTAGTCCTGCCAACCCTGGCTACTCAGAGGCAGCTGCACTCCTTGGAAACATCTGGGACAAAGGGATTTTCTCTTGGGTTTGTATTAATTATGAATTAGACAATAAAAATAGCTACCCAACCTTTTCTCAGACACTCCCATCCAGGTGCTGTTAACTGTGATGGAATATTTCCCGTGGGCTCATGCTGGAGTAACTTCCTCAAATGAAGACATTTGGGTGCATATAGCCAATCAAGTTGCAAATTCTCTTCAGAGCCATCACCTACCTGTAAGGGTCATCCTGACCACAGGACAAGACAGCCAAAGCATTCCGAAAGCTCTCCATCAGATTTGCCCAGTGGAGGGAATTCGCAGTGAATGCTTTCTTCTGGCTGAGGTTTAAAAACATGGCTCAGAGAAAGATACTACAATTTCTAAAACATTTCCTACCCTCATGCCCTAGGGTAGCACATTACTCCCCAGTTCTTCATGGGTTTCCCTTTTCTACTCACACTAGGCCCCAAGACTATCTTTCTTCAATAGAGCCTATTTTATTAACTGAATAAAGGTACAAAGAACTCTGAAGTTAAAATGCTCATGGATGCCAGTGCCTGTTCTCACCACCTGTGTGGGGAAGATTAGCATCAAGAGCAACTCTATCCACATACCCTCTATGCACTTAGGACCCCGGCAGTTTCAGATGAGCCAAAGAGGGGTGTTCTTTTTTTAAAAAATATGTTTAGTATATTTATGTTATTTATGTTCAATTTTGTTTTTTAGATCTATACATTTTATTATTTTATTTTCTTGATTTAATCTTGACTGTATTTTTCCCATTACCATTTAGTTTCCTTATACTCCATACCCCCACCATTCACCACACTGTTGTCCATGCTCGTGAGTCTTTTCTCCATTTTGCTTAATCCCTCTACCTCTCCCCGCCCCCCACTAGCTGTCATCCTACTCTTCATCTATGAGTCTGTCCCCATTTTCCTTGTTAGGTCAGTTTGCTCATTAGATTCCACATATGAGTGAAATCAAATGGTATTGCTCTTTCTCTGACTGGTTTATTTCACTTAGCATAATGTACTCCAGGTCCATCCATACTGTCACAAAGGGAAAAAATTTCTTCTTATTTATGGCTGAGTAATATTCTGTTGTATAAATGTCCAATAGTTATTTTATCCACTAATCTACTGTGGACATGTGGGCTGCTTCCATATCTTGGTGACTGTAAATAACACCACAATGAACGTAGAGGTGCTTATGTTCTTTCAAATTAGTGTTTTGGGTACCTTCGGATATATTCCCACAAGTGGGGTCACTGATTCAAAAGGCAGATCCATTTTTACTTTTTTGAGATATCTCCATACTGCTTTCCACAGTGTCTGCACTAGTTGCACTAGTCTGAATTCCCACCAAGAGTGCAAAAGGGTTCCGCTTTCTCCACATCCTGACCAACACTTGTTTATTGTTGATTTATTGATGATAGCTGTTCTGAGAGAAGTGAGAAGATATCTCATTCTGTTTCTTCTTTTTAGGTTTTATTTGTTTTTAAAGAGGGGAAAGGAGGGAGAAGGAGGAGAGAACCATCAATGTGTGGTTGCCTCTCACACACCCCCTACTGGGGACCTGGCCCACAACCCAGGCATGTGCCCTGACTGGGAATCAAACCGGCAATCCTTTGGTTCACAGGCTGGCACTCAGTCCACTGAGCCACACCAGCCAGGGCTACATTAGATTTTAGAAGTTGGATGTTCACTTGTATATAAATTATTTAAGCTCACCGTGATTCGGTATTGGAAGCAGAGACATGGAATAGAGAGTTGTGTGTGTGTGTGTGTTCATGCACACATGTGTGTAAAGTGGCACAAAGCTGGTGCTTTCATTTACTCAGTCCACTGAGCCACACCAGCCAGGACTCATTGTGTTTTTAATTTGCATTTCTCTGATGATTAGTGATGTTGAGCATATTTTCATATGTCTATTGGTCATCTGTATGTCCTCTTTGGAGAAGTGCCTATTTAGGTCCTTCACCCATTTTTAACTGTTTTTTTTGTTTTGTTTTTTTGGTGTTGAGTTTTGTAAGTTCTTTATAAATTTTGGATATTAACCCCGTATCAGATGTACTGGTAAATATGTTTTCCCATTCTGTGGGTTGTCTTTTTATTTTGTTGATGATTTCCTTTGCTGTGTAAAAACTTTTTTGTAGTCTCATTTGTTTATTTTTCCTTTTGTTTCCCTTGCCTGGGAAGACATATCCAATAAAAAATTTATGCAGACAATGTCTGGGATTTTGTTGCCTATGTTTTCTTCTAGGATTTTTATGGTTTGGGGTCTAACATTTAAGTCTTTGATCCATTTTGAATTTATTCTTGTGTTGGTGTAAGAAGGTGGTCTAGTTTCATTTTTCTGTGTGTATCTGTCCAATTTTCCCAACACCACTTATTGAATAGTGTATCTTTAGCCCATTATATGTGCTTGCTTCCTCTGTCAATTATTAACTGACTATAAAGGTGTGGATTTATCTATTCAGTTCCATTGATCTATGTGTCTGTTTTTATGCAAGTACCATGCTGTTTTGATTACTATGACTTTATAGTATAATTTGACATTAGGTAGCATGAATCCTTCAACTTTGTTCTTCTTCCTCAGGATTGCTGTTGCTATGTGGGACCTTTTGTGGTTCCATATAAATTTTTGAAATATTTGTTCTAGTCCTCTGAAATATGTCATTGGAACCTTGATAAAAATTGCATTGAGTGTATAGATTGCTTTGGTTAGTATGGACATTTTAATGATGTTAATTCTTCCTATCCATGAACATGGTATATGCTTCCACTTATTTGTATCTTCTCCAATTTATTTCTTCAGTGTCTTATAATTTTTGGAGTACAGATCTTTTACATCCTTGGTTAGGTTTATTCCTAGGTATTTTATTCTTTTTATAGCAATTGTGAATGGGCTTATTTTCTTAATTTCCCTTTCTGTCAGTTCATATTTGGCATATAAAAATGCAACTGATTTCTAGATATTAATTTTGTATCCTGATACTTTGCTGAATTCATTTATCAGTTCTACAAGTGTAGAAGTGTTTGGTGGAATCTTCAGGGTTCTCTATTTACATTATCATGTCATCTGCAAATAAAGACACTTTTACTCTTCCTTACCAACTTGGATGGCTTTTATTTCTTCTTGTCTGATTGCTGTGGCTAGGAGTTCCAGTACTATAAGAGGTGAAAGTGATATCTCTGTCTTGTTCCAATATTAAGGGGAATGCTTGTAGTTTTTGGACATTGAGCATGATGAGGGCATTGGGTTTGTCATATATGGCCTTTATTATGTGTAGGTATGTTCCCTTTAATCCCACTTTGTTGACAGTTTTTTTATCATGAACGGGTGCTGGATTTTATCAAATGCTTTTTCTAAATCTGTTGATATGATCATGCGGTTTTTATCCTATATTTTGTTTATTTGGTGAATCACATTTATTGATTTGTGAATGTTGTACCAACTTTGCATTCCTGGAATAAATTCCAGTCATCATGGTGTAGTTTCTATTTAATGCATTGCTGTATTCAGTTTGCTAATATTTTGTTGAGGATTTTAGCACCTATATTCTTCAAGGATATTGGCCTGTAATTTTCTTTCTTTGTAGTGTCTTTATCTGGTTTTGGAATTAGGATAATGCAGGACTTTTAAAAAGAACCTTCCCTCCTCTTGATTTTTATAAAATAGTTTGAGAAGGAGGGGTGTTAGTTCTCCTCCAAATGTTTGGTGAAATTCACCTGTGAAGCCATCTGGTCCAGGGCTTTTGTTTGTTGGGAGTTCTTAGATTACTGCTTCAATTTTACTAGGTGTAATCTGTCTATTCAGATTCTCTGATTTTCCTGACTTAGTTGTGGAAGATTGTATGTTTCTAGGAATTTTTCCATTTTGTCCAGGTTGTCCAGTTTATTGGTATATAGTTGTTCATAATATTTTTATAATCTTTTGTATTTCTTTGGTGTTAATTGTTATTTCTCTTCTTTCATTTCTGATTTTATTTATTTGGGTCTTTTCCATTTTTTTTCTTGATGAGTCTGGTTAAAGGTTTGCTAATCATGTTTACTTTCCAAAGAACCAGCTCTTGGATTCATTAATCTTTTGTATCATTTTTAAAGGCTCTATTTCACTTATTTCTGCTTTGATCTTAATTATTTCCTTCCTTCTATTCACATTGGGCTTTGTTTGTTGTTCTTTTTTAAGTTTCTTTAAGTGTGAAGTTAGATTGTTCATTTGAGATTTTTCTTGTTTTGTTTTGTTTTGTTTTGTTTGAGATAGGCTTGTAATGCTATGAATTTCCTCCTTAGGATTGCTTTCCCAGTGTCCCACAGATTTTGGATTGTTGCATCCTCATTTTCATTTGTTTCAAGGTATCTTTTGATTTCTTTCTTGGTCTCAATGTTGACCCATTCATTGTTTAATAGCATGTTATTTAGCTTCCATGTCTTTGTATGTTTTTCAGTGTTCTTCTTGTGATTGATTTCTAGTTTCATAGCATTGTGGTCACAGAAGGTGCTTGATATGATTTCAATCTTCTTAAATTTATCGAGACTTGTTTTATGTCCTAACATGTGGTCTATCTTCAAAAGTGTTCCATGTGCACTTGAAAAATATGTATATTCTGTTGCTTTGGGGTGAAATACTCTGAAGATATCAATTAAGTCCATTTGATCTAGTGTGAATTTAAGGCTGCTATCTCCTTGTTGATTTTCTGCCTGTATGATCTATCTATTAAAGTTAATGGGATATTAAAGTCCCCCGCTATGACTATACTTCTTCCTATTTCTCCCTTCACATCCATCAGGATTTGCTTCATATAGTTAGGTGCTCCTATGTTGGGTGCATAAATGTTTACTAGGGTTATATTGCCTGGTTGGATTGTTTCCTTTATCATTATGTTGTGTCCTTCTTTGTCTCTTACTATTGCCTTGGTTTCAAAGTCTATTTTGTAAGGTATAAATACTGCTACCCCAGCTTTTTTTCTTTCCATTTGTATGAAATATTGTTTTCAATCCCTTTACTTTTAGTCTGTATGTATCTTTTGATCTTAGATGGGTCTCTTGGAGGCAGCATATATATAGGTCTTGTTTTCGTATCCATTAAGCTACCTTCTGTTTTTTGGTTAGAACATTTGAGCCATTTGCATTTAAGGTGATTATTGATAGATACATATTTAGTGCCATTTTATTGTTAGACTATTTTCCTCTGTTTTTTTCCTTTCTCTTTTTCTTCTTCTTCTTAAAGAAGCCCTTTAACATTTGTTGCAGTACTGGTTTGGTATTAACAAACTCTTTTAACTTTTTCTTGTCTGAGAAGTTCCTTATTTCTC